ACTTTCTTCTTTCTGTCTCTCTGTCTTTCTGGCGAGCACATGTGCCTTATAGCAAAAATCTCTCCAAAAAAAAAGAAAAAAAAAAAAACTTTGTGAGCATTCCTGAAAATACAACTCCTTAAGGTTGCTTACAAGCTTAAATTTCCACGGGAAACTTCTGTGGACATTTGTATTTACAGCCCTTAGTTAGGACCCAAGTTTGGCTGTCCAGAAGATAGCCCAGTATATGGGCACTTTCTTATACTGTTCTCATTGGCTTAGTGACATATTTTAAATAACTGCTACTGGCCCAAATGTGGCTTTGACATTCAAAAACATCCTTTATCATCTTTGAGACCTGGGAAATTCCTACAGTTTTATTACCCCCAAAAAACGTTTTGAATACTTAACTAATTAGCGGTTCTGAATTATTCACATGTAGCTTTTTCTTAGCAAACTTTAAAAACATCCTCATTTCATCTTATCACTTAGTAGACATCAAACTGAACCATTAATAGCTTTTAGAATTTGCTTGAAAGATTTAAGTCAGTTAATCACAAATAAGTGCCCACTACGTTTCATACCCTCTGTTAAGTGATTCAGTCATGCCAGCATGAATCAGATGTGGATTTGGCCCTTGTATATTAATAGTGATAAGAAAAGCACACAAATAACATGTGGGGTTTTCAAGAAGTTCACGAAAAATGCATACTGTAAGAAAACTATGCATGGATTTAAAAAATGTTTTGCTTCACCTATCCTTTAAGTTCATTGTCCAAGAGCTTTTAGAAATGTATATTCCACAGGATAGACTGTAGCAGTAATGTGAGAAAGCAAAGGTAGTATGGAAGTTTAATGGAGGGAGACATTATTTCTGTGACAGTTAGAGACTTTGGCATGTTAGCAGTGGCACCGAAGTCAGGGATGACGTGTGGACATGGGTCATTCCAGTGAGAAGACATGGGAAAGAAGTTATTACATTGGAGAAAAGGCTATGTGAAATGGTATGCAGGGGGAAAAATGTGAAAAAGAGGCATACATAGTGTGGAAGGCCCTAGAATGCCAATTTTAAGAATCTGAAATTCTCTGAAAATACTTGGGAATTACTGAAAGTTTTTGAGCACGTTGGTTGTGAGTGGAAGGGAGATGTGTACCCAGATAAGGTAACCAGGCAGTAAAGTAGAGGATGGCTTTAGCAGGGAGAAACTGACAGTAGTATGGACGCCAGTAAGAAAGCTAAAGCAGATATCCCCAGGTGAAAGCTAATGTGGATTGGGTGGGTAGGATGGACCGGAGGGTAGGAAATGGATGTAGGTGAGACTTTGCAGTTAAATCAGCAGGCCCTCACCATTTATTGGAAGTTAGGAATATGGAAGAAGAAAAAAATCTAAAAAGGAAACAGATCTTATGCCAGATTGACTGGAAAGTCAAAGAAAGAGACAAAGAAGGAATAAATTTATATGAGAAGATAGGACCATGATCTGAGATCTTGAATTTATGGTGCTAAAATTTACAGGTATCAGTCCTGCAGTGCTTGTGATTGAAAATGGAAGTGCTGAGACAAGTCAGAGGTTGAGAGCAAAGTTTAAAATCAACTCCATGGGGTAGAGTGTTAGTCTTGTCGATAGTGGGCCATGCCATATGAAGCGGACACTGCACACTTGATGGGAATGAGGTATACCTGGCTCATAAACATGTTTATGTGTTTTTAAAAACCTAAATATGCAAACATTAAGCCAATATTAGAAAATCCAGTATTACTATCACATTTTGTATGCTGTGATGATGTTCCGTAAATGAATGTAAAACAAATAAATTTAAAATTTTTTAAAAATCAAAACTTGTAGCTAACTATGAACTAGGATTGCCACATGGCAACAGATGGAGCTGAACAGAGGCTGCCTCCTTGAGATCCTGGATGAATTCTATAATTCACCACAGTCCCCTCGACTCCCCTGTTATCTCCTAACACTTGAAGATTAAAAGTCAGTTGCAGAATTTGTAGATAAGGAATAGATTACTGGTTGCCTAGAGCAGAGGTCAGGCAGGAAATGGAACACTAGGGGCTGATGGCATAGGAGTATGGGATTTCTCTGAGAGTGATGAAATGTTCAGAAGTTGACTGATAGTGGTTAAATAATTTGAATACATTAAAAGTCGTTGCATTTTATACTTTAAATGGGTGGATGGGATGATCATGAATATTTTCAAAAAAGTTTTTAAAATGTAAATGTATTTATTATTTCTCCTGCAGTGTTGGTTTTCTTAAAGCCAAAAATATTTCTCTATACACATGTCTTTATCAAAAAAAAGAAAATGGGACCGACCCTGTAGTGTGATGGTTAAGCTCTGTGTATAGGGAGATGGATACTATGCCTGTCCATGCCTGACGACAGTTTGAATCCCAGCCTGGCAGCTTGACAAATATATATGCCCACATGTATCCACACATGGGCCCTTTGTCATTAAAAAGGAGGGGATGACAAAAGGTAGACTGAGAAGGTTGTGTATATCAAGAGAAAAAATGGGAGTACATCTTTTGATGATAGTAAAGAATTTCTACAAATTAATATGCAACTCCTGGCCTCTTTATTATATATGTATGTTTTTGTTTGTTTTTGCCTGACCTCTTTAATAACATACATAACCTTCCTAGCCACTAAAGGCATTCGGTATTAGACAGGCTAAAATTTGGTCATACCGAACTCTCTGAGATTTACAGACAACTAAGAAGATTGAGAGGACAAAGGCAGAGAAGGAAAAGGAGTAATTAATCAACGTGCTAAAAGGGGAAGCAAAAGAGGCTAATATATTGGATGCCAGGAAGGAGGAAGCTTTATCAACTGTTGACAAAAGGTCAAGGAGGATGAGGACAGAGAAGTCAGGAGGTCATGGGAGACCATCCTGAGAGAACTTAGAGAGATGAGGCCAGGAAGAGATGTAGAGGCAAATGCCCAGAATGTATCTGCATGTTAGTATTTTATCCCCAGGCATAGAGTGAGGGATTTTATTTGTTTGTTTGTTTGTTTGTTTTTAAGTGTTTTATTTTTTATTTTTTGGAGAGGTTTTTGCTATAGGGCGTGTGCACTTGCCAGAAAGACAGAGAGAGACAGAGAGACAGAAAGTGAGAAATCTGTCCCAGGGTTCTCAACCTCAGCCCTGTTATATTTTGGACTTAATGCTTCTTTGTTATGGGATCTTCCCTGTCCATTGTAGGAAGTTTAGTGCCATCGCCAGCCTCTACCTTACAGACATTAGTAGCATTCCCAGTTAGACACTGCCAACAAAATCACTTCCGGCTAAGAACCACTAAACCACATTATTTTACTGCAGCATTTTGGTCCAGGCACTTAAGGTCATGTACATTTGGTAGACCACTTCACAAAGTGCCTAGCCTGGAAAAGACGACCAACTCCTACTCCACAGCGAGGGCTACAATCAGATGATGCAGTAAGGGAACAACAAATGAGAGACTCAGGGCCTAATTTTGTTTTAACTAATTCAGTGACCTTCCCTCTGTGCTTAGTTTTCTCATTGAAAGGAGATAGTACATAGAGGTGACAAGGCAGACTAGATGTTCAGCTGCGTCTTCCTAAGGCTATGATTCCTGCCATGGCATAGAGCCCAAGAGGGCACAGGAATTCAGAGGAGACCTAGGGAGGTGCCAGATCTAATAGTGGGAGCTGGCTTCTAAGTAGAAGGACTTGAGGCTTGCCTCTAAGGAGAAAGAAGGGGATGGGGAACAAGAATAGTTTCTCCTGGTAATGTCAAGAGAGATTGGGAAAGCTTTGAAAATGTAAGAAAGTAGTTGAAGTGCAACTTGGAGTAGATTAGGAGTAGATTAGGAACTGGATCAAGTTTACTTCACATCCTTTCCTTTCAGATAGGAAAGTCTTAGGAGGTAAAAGAATGTTTCTCTTGGAATAGGGATGTCTAAAACAGATTAGATATAAAATGTTGAGATCTTCCAGATTCCTTTTCAGGGTGTGTGTATACATGGGGCAGGAGAGGAATGGAATTTTATATGCATACACCATCATTTAGCTTGATAAGAGTCTTAAAACTCTAAGATTCTTTCTTTCTTTCTTTCTTTCTTTCTTTCTTTCTTTCTTTCTTTCTTTCTTTGAAGAGGTTTTTGCTATAGGGCGCATGTGCTCGCCAGACAGACAGAGAGAGACAGAGAGACAGAAAGCGAGAAATCACCCCCCAGGGGAGATGGCCACACTGCAATCCCTTCTCCTCCGTTCTTCTCTCGGGATCTTGGGCATGTACACACACCCAGTGTGAGTTTTAAGCCACCGGGTCCGGGACTCAAACCACGGTCAACTACATAGGAGTCCAGTGACATAGCCATTACGCTAACTGCTGGTCCCATCTAAGATTGTTTCTTAAGTAGTTCTTATTCTTTTTTTCTTTTTAAGATTTTTGCCAAAGGACATATATATATGTATATACTCACTGGGAAAGAGAGAGATAGAGAAAGCCAGTGAGAAGAAAGTGAGAAATAACCCCCCAGGGGGGATGGCCATGCTATAATCCACTTTCCTTCTGGGATTTCGGGCATACATACCCAGTCTGATTTTCAAGCCACCAGGTCCAGGACTTGAACCACAGTTGGTCATGTGGGAGTCTAGCACCTTAACCACTACGCCACCTGCTGGCCCCAGCAACTCTTATTCTGTGGAGTAGCATCACGCCTTTCTGCCTTTCTGCTATGAATATTGAGTGGCTTGATTTTGGCAATGGCTTCAGGCTGCCTTGCAATACGACCTGTTGTTGATATGTAATTCCATTTTTGTTTGGCCTAGTGGTAGTCACTTTCACTCAGGCCTAGAAAATCCTTGCTGGTTTTTCTTTTTACTTTTATATTTATTAACCCATCTTCTCCTCTAATTCATCAACCACTATGGTAGTGAACTGAGCCACCCAGTAGTCTCTGAGCAATGAGTAATAACTGGGCTTTGTTTATATGAAATATCATCATAAGAAAGGGCATCCATAAACATGGTTTTTCATTTCAGGGACTTCTGGGTCCAGCTGTCTGACAGCCGCACTAGGAAACACCTGGAGTCACAGTGTGAACACCCGGCTGATTCTCCAGTACCTTGATTCAGAGAGAAGACAAGTGAGTGCTTTGACAGTGTTTTCTGACCTTTAAAGTTAGAGAACAAGATGAACCCAGCAATCTGACCATCTTCTAAAAGTCTTGGCTACATTGTCTGTCCTGGGCCAGCACTGGAAAGGTCCTTAAGGAAACCAATACCCTTCCTTGCCCCAACAACAGTTATAAGAGAGTGGGGAGACAAATCAACACAGGGAAAAATTATGTAAGAATAGGTCCACTGAGTTAGCATTCTTCCTGATATTTTTAAGTCACCAAAGACCATAGGTCCAAGGATCTCAAATTCTCTATCTCTAAATGATCATTTCACTTGGATGATAATGGCTGGGGACTAGATCATTTGAGTATGAATTAAATAGTGGTTGTGCTTTTTATTGAAGTCCCTGTGCTTCAAAAACCTTAGTTAGGCTGGCTCCTGTGGCACAGTAGTAGTGCCCTGCTTAGGAAAAGCCAGATACTGCATAGCAACCATAGTTCTACCCTGGCCTGGTTAGTCTGAATCATACTGGACAAGTGCACAAATACCCAAGGGCTGGAGGACTGGAGGACTGGAGGAAAGGGGATTATTGCATGACCAGACCCTGCGGAAGGTGCTCATATTTCTTTTCTTCTCTGTCTTTCTTTTAGTTGTATGTGTACATCCATGCTTTATCATGAATAAAGAAAACTAGCAAACAAAACTTAGGACAGAGAGGTCCTCCTAAGTGAATAAACCATTACCCACATACTGGGTGCTTTAACATTAACATGTAAGTCAGTAATGTAAAGTAGTGAATGATGCTACGGAGCTCTCCAAAGGGAGCTGACTTTCTCAGAGCTCCCTATTTACAGTTTCTATCCTGAACTCAAGTGAAAATTTCCATCTTCCATCCAGAAAGGCTGCTTCCTACTCCTTTCTTAATCTCCTTTTCCCACTCCAAAGCATGGGATACCACAGTCTGACCCCTTTGGTGAAGTGTTTTGTAATCAAGACATTTCTTTTTTCTTAATGTTTAACTTCAACTTTATCCTGTGTGTGACTAGACTCAGTCACTCTCTCTCCTGTAAGCAGAAAATAAGATGGGGTGATTATTCTAATTTTTCAGATGGGATAAAATTCAGAAACCAGGTTTGCCCATCCTTCTAAATATATAACAAATCCAGATTATTAATTAAAGAGGAATGAAATACAATGCTGGTGGTCCTTTCTGGAGGAGATGGCTGAAGGGGTATTATTGCCTTTACCTGCATTAGGTAAACTGGCTCTTTTTCAAGGAGACAGGAATCATTAAAAACAGACATGAGCCTTTGCCTCTTCTAGACAAACTTTCCAAAGCCCTTGGTTGCAGACCAGAGGATTCTTCTCAGCTTGCTTGGGACTGTATAAATAACATTCCAGCTTGGCAGTTGAGTCAACCATGTTCTGAGGATGGAGCTGCTGGTTTCCATTCAGGGCAACATTCCTGAGCATTCGGGCCCTGGCATGCTCATTACCTCAATGATGCCTTTTCCATGATAATTCACGTATCCTGGGTTCTGAATCTATTACTTCTCTTTATAGTGGAACACATCCAAAAGTGTTCCTGATGAACCTAATGGCCTTTGGTTTGTATACTAGGTAATAAATCACATTAAATCAACCCTGTTTGCAGAGTTGCATTAAGGATTGTCGGGCACTCCTACCTGAACTGTGCTAGAGGAAGTAGAATTCCTTGTGTATCAGTGTTTATTCATTAATTTTTACAGATCCTTTACCACACTCCTTGAAAACTTGTAGTTTATCTTGTTTAGATTTTTTTCTTTTTTTTTTTTTTAACATATTTTTGGGGGAGAGGTTTTTGCTATAGGGCACGTGCACTCACCAGAAAAATAAAGAGACAGAAAGCAAGAAATCACCCCCCCCCCCGGGGGGCGGACCCCCCCAAAAGCAAAAAAACCCCCCCCCCCCCAGGGGGGCTGACCACGCCACAGTCCCTTCTCTTTCATTCTCCTCTAAAGAAGGATCTTGGGCATACATTCATATGCACCTAGCGTGACTTTAAGCCACCGGATCTGGGACTAGAATGGCAGTCAACTACATGGGAGTTCAGTGACATAGCCATTACACAAACTGCTGATCTCTTAATGTTTAGATTTTTTTTTAAAGAATTTATTTAACTTTATTTATTTATTTGTTTATTTTTAATTTGACCAGAGAGGGACAGGGTGAGAAAAAGCGAGAGTGAGGGAGAGAGGAAGCAAGCCACCAGGTCTGGGACTCAAACCACAGTTGGCCATGTGCGGTCTAGTGCCTTTAACCACCATGCCACCTGCCGGCCCCATATCTTGTTTAGATTTTAAATGGCATTTTTACCATAACACACTGATTTTGTGATTTTGGTCTACTTATATTGTATTACAGTTTCAAGGCTCCCAGATCCTAGTTTTACTAATTTCAACTAGAATTTATAAGTAAAAAAGAAGTTAGTGCCACATTTTTTTCTTTGTTTTAATAAATTAACCAGATGTTTCCATTTTGTTGGTGTCAGCAGTAAGTGGCTCTAAGGACAAATGGTATTATTTTGTGTGTCTTTGGTGGCTACAGGATGTTGGTGGCTCTTGGCTCTTGGCTAGGGTCACATGCAGGCCACTGGTCACAAGAAGAACTGGGAGCAAAGTGTGGATGGATCAGTGATAGTCTATCAACTCACATCCTATTAGATGGGTCAGTAGTGTTGTCTTAATCTACAAAGGACAACTTGTTACTATCATCACTACTCAATCAGGAGCAGATGCCTTTGCATCATGTTTTCAAACATAACTAGAAAATAATGTAAAATATGACCCGTGTTAAAATGGGCAACCCAGGCAAAGGAACATACATTAATTAACCTGTAGAAATAGGCTGGCCTTTTGGGACCAGTTGTTAAATTTGAGCCAATAACTAGGATAAAGTTTGATATAGAAAACATATCTTTGATGACTTGGTCTTGCAGAAAATGTATTTAGCGCTTCACTAAAGTATTGCTTATGGTCTTATTTCATGACAAAGTATAGAAGTCATATGAAAGTAAGTATTTCCTGGAATATATGCAGAAAACAATACTTTAAAGCCAGCCTTTAAAATAATTGCACTAAATTATACTTTCTTATAATACTACTTGTTAAGAGAACATGCTTGGATTATTCTAGGATAGTCAGACCTCTGAGACACCAGCCAGTCAAAGATACAGGTATAATTTTTTTGGTTTTGGATTTTTTTCCCCCAATGTATAAGCAGGGGCCCCTATACCAAGGGATCAAGGTTATGGAATGAGGATTATGTTTTATCCTGTTTCTATGACATTGAGCTCTTCACCAGGGCTCTTGAATGTGAGGCTTATCTGAGATCACAGGGCTGGAAGGGGATCAGGTCAAGCTGAGCAGATCTTCGAGCAGATTAACCCAGGAGCTGAATTGTCCAAAGGAAGGAGTCCTCCCTGGCTGATTATTTTCTTTACACTCTGGAAACTTTGTAAAATTATATAACCAACAAAGAAATCTTCTTATCAGAGCACAAGCCAAGTTAATTCTCTTATTTATTCTTCTTCAGTGTTAGTTTAAAAACAAAACAAACAACAACAACAAAAACAGCAAAACTCTTAAGAAGCTGGGAAACATTTTCTTTTCGACTAATTTAGCTTTTTTCCATTTGATTTATTTACTCTTACTGTGCTTCAATCCTGCCCCGCCCTTTTGTGACATTTTTATTCTTACCAAAGACATGTTCTTAGGGTAGAATTAAAATAGCTTCTACTAGATTTAGTTTGTTTGTTTGTTTGTTTGTTTTAAATGATCAAAAGTGTGTTTTGGTCTACCATCTGCGTGGCATGAGATGCAAAGTAAAAGATATGATTCCTCAAGGTCCTTCTGGTCTGAAATGGGAGATGATACACATATTCAAACATAGCCACTCAGTCATAGATAATCGAAGGAGCTAAAGAACAAATGAATACTAGGGTACTGTCACTAGGCAGTGTTTGATTTATTATTTAGTAAGTGGCTAAAACAGTAGCTGCTTTGAATCTGAAGAAACATAAAATCATCAGAGGCACATTAAGTCTTTTTAGGAAAAGTGGGATGTGAGTATCACCTTAAAATCCATGGCTCCTGAAGTCTGACTGCACTCAAACTCATCACAGGAGCATTTACAAAATGTCAGTGCCAGGGCCCCATCCTGACCAATAAGTCAGTATCTCTTCGGTGAGGCCAGACATTAGTGTTTGTTTTATTTGTAAAGCCTCCCTAAATTATTCTAATGTGCAGCCAAGATTGAGAATAGATAAGTTGGGACCAGCAGTTGGTGTATTAGCTATGTCACTGGAGTCCCATGTAGTTGACTGCGGTTCGAGTTCCAGATCTGGTAGCTTAAACTCACACCGGACATGTGTGCGTGTGTGCCCAAGATCCCAAGAGGAGAATGGAAAAGAAGGGATTGCGGCATGGCCATCCCCCCTGGGGGGTGATTTCTCACTTTCTGTCTCTCTGTCTCTCTCTCTGTCTTTCTGGCAAGTGCATGTGCCCTATAGCA